AGGGAATCCTCACCCTGATCCAGGACACCCTTCAGGGCAAACCAGCTGGCCCCACCCATGCACCAAGCCTCTATCCTAGCTAATAGAGTAATCTGCAGATTGACCATCCCTCCAACACACAAAATGGCTGCCCCCATGTGGTCAAAGATCCTGCCCCCATGTGGACACAAGGTGGCCACCACAAGATCGCTGGCAGGAGAAGGCAGTTATGAGGGACCAGGCCTGCAAGGGAGGGCAGTTGAAGGTGATCAGCACTGCAGGGGAAGGCAGTTAGTGGTGACAAAGCTGGCAGAGGAGGGAAGTTAGGGCAAACAGGCTGGCAGAGGAGCAGTTAGACATCAATCAGGCTGGCATAGGAATGGTTAGGGGGTGATCAGGCTGGCAGGCAGAAGTGGTCAGGGGCAATCAGGAAGGCAAGCAGGTGAGCAGTTGGAAGCCAGCAGTCCTGTATTGTGAGAGGGATGCCAGATTGGAGAAGGTGAGGGACACACACCCAGCCCTCCTCCCCCCATGCACGAATTTCGTGCACCAGGCCTCTAGTTCTTTATAAAGTGAATGCAACTGATTTTCTGAAGATATATTTAGAAAATGCCAAAACGAAAATGAAGAGAAAGTTTGTTAATGAGCTACAACTGTGTACTAGGAGTAATTAGCTTTAATGGTTTTGTCTCTTTCTACAAAAAGTAAAAAATAGTAATAATAAACTGTCTTATATATATTTCATTAGACATAAATTTAAATAGAAGCCAATCTTAAAGCCAAAACATTCCAGGGCCAGGTCTAGAAATGAACTCTGGGACACATAATAATACATTTCTGCATGCTTTAGTCTAAGTCAGTGGATCTCAACTGGGAATGGATTTTGATGCTTCTGTATCCCAGATTTCTGTTTATCATAGCATGGGTTAGGGGGAGGTGTTCCTGGCATATAATGGGTAAAGGCCAAGGATGCTACAAACATCCTACAAAGCACAGGCCAGTGCCCCCTCCTCTACCCTCAACAAAGAATTATCTGGTCCAAAATGTCAATAGTGCAGAGGTTGAGAAACCCTGGTCTCAGAGAAAACTCAGTCTAAAAGGCCCTATGGAACATCTGTCAGTAACACACATGACATTAATTTTACATATGCCCGACACAAACAAATGAAAAAGTATTAACTTTGGTAAGAAGTGTCAGAATAACAACTGTCAGTAATGATTTTAAATAGAATATTACTTATTGATCTATTAATTCTGCATTTTCACACTCTATCAAGAACAATGTATAATCTATGCTATCTCACTGAACTCATAAAAATCATACTGAGATATAACTAAATCTAATAAATATTTGTGAACAAGATAAATCAAAGGATTCATGTTTACTTCATTACTATCTCTAATTTGGTTGAATGTGGCTTCAAAAGTTGATACTTGTGTATGGAAACCAAGTTTAAACTATTCACACATATTAGCAAACTCACTTCCCTTGATGGAATATTTTAAGAGCCAGTGAATTTTATAGAATACTTGTATTTTTTTTATTTTATTTTTTTGCTACTTGTATTTTCATTGCACTACTCTTATTGCTAGCACCCAAAATGCAACTTTGTATTAGTGAGTCGTTTTCAAGACATTTATTGTTCTTATAAATGTACTTTTAGATATCAATTGTGGGAAATGTGATTTGGATGAATGACGTTTATCATAATTTACTTCCCACAGAATTCCACAAATTGTCTTGACATAAAAGAATTAATGATTAATGGCAAGAGTCTATTTTATTTCATTACTACTCCCATCTTTCTTTGTTCTGAGAGCAATTCAAATACACAAAATGTAGCCAACAGTAATTAAGGACAACAATTAACAGATTGCAAAATGCAGCTAGACGTCAATTTTGCTTTTTACGTATTTGCTAGATGAAAAATTAAACTTTACCTCTATGTCTTTTATATATTTGTAGTGTTGAAACCTCTGTCATGTCAAAGTTTTGGCAAAAGCCAGATGACAGGAAAAAAAATTCTTAAAGATACGTATTTCAAATGTTTTGCTAACTACATAAACTCTGAAAAAGAAATAAAGACTAAAGGTTCATTGCCTTGAAAGAGTATAAAGAATTTTTATTCTTCTAGGAAAAGCACATCGTTGTGTGACTTATAGCTGGTTAATTTTATTACGTTATCTTGAGAAAAGAAAATAGTCAGGGTGGCTGATTATGCAAGTAGATTTCACAGACTCCATATCAGTCCTTAGGGAAACACAACATTTCAGTACATTCTAAAATAGTAACTTTAATGTGTACTCTATAGATAGTTCAGTAATGTTCTCTAACATAATACCTACAGAAGTATGTTTAAGACTAAAATATTCTAAGGGCTTTATTATTTCTTGAGGCTATTTAAAGAAAAAACAACCATGAGACAGTATTTTTAATTCAGAAAATCATGAATGGGCAGGATTTTTAAAGGCTTTGCCAACTCTAATAAACCACAACAGGGCTCTTATGCACAAGTGCTTGCCTGCATCTTAAACAAATGATTGAACTGGCAGGGAAAATGTGCCACCTTACATATGAACAGTGATATACAATTTGCAAAACCATTTCACATAAACCACATAATACAATCTATCAGGTAAGTAAAATATCCATCAGGTTAAGTAAAATAGGTATTTATTTTGCAGATGAAGCACTTGAAGCTCAAGGCATTGCCCAAGAACATTCAGCTAGCTAATAAAGAAAACAGCTAGAACTAGAAGACACTATTTTTTTTTTTAAACAAAATTTGGTCATTTCCCTACTTACATATAGTTAATATACCAAATGTGAAAAAAGTTCAAAGTGCCAAGAAGAACCATTCCAATTACAATTTAATTTTAGGTTAGTTCTGTTCAAGGATTAGAAGAATCGCCACTTTATCAGAATCCACTCTGACAAATAACGTGTGAGAACATTTTCACATGAATCTGCTTAAATCACGCAGCAACATGTTCAACATGCATTCATTGTGAAAGCCAAGAGAACTGCACATGTTACACCCAGGAATAGCCAGTGTTCTACAGAAAAAGTCTTTTTGCTTCTCAAACACAGAAATGCTCCTGGTGCCTTCAGAAACAACTTGATTAATATATAGTAATTAAGGTTCTCGACAATCATCCTCAAATATAACCCTTTAGATCAGGGTGGGGAATGTCTGGCCCACAAGACATATGAAACCTGCAAATCATTTGGTCTGGCCCTGCCAAGGCATTAGGGGTGAGTTAATTCAACGTTTGACCAAATATAGTAGGCTAATTTTAAAAATATGTATTTGTATTAATTTCAGAGAGAAAGGGAGAGGGAGAGAAACATCAATGCTGAAAGAGAATCATTGATCTGCTGCTTCTAGCACACCCTCCATTGGGAACGAGCCTGCAACCTGGGCATGTGCCCTTGACAGGAATTGAACTGGGGACCTTTCAGTCTACAGGCCGACTCTCTATCCACTGAGTCAAACCAAACCGCCTGGGGCAAGCAGGCTAATTTTTAAGTAGACATCCCTCTCACAATCCAACTGGCAGCCATCTTGTGGCGGCCATCTTGTGTCCACATGGGGGCAGCCATCTTTGACCACATGGGGGTGGGCATCTTATGTGTTGGAGTGATGGTCAATTTGCATATTACCTTCTTATTATATAGGACTAGAGGCTTGATGCATAAAATTTGTGCAAGAATAGGCCTTCCTTTCCCTGGCTGCTGGCATAGGCTTCCCTCTGGCACCTGTGACCCAGGCTTCCCTCCAGTCCAGGTTTCATCCGGAATGACGTCGGGAATGATGTCGGTCTAAGTAGCATATTATCCTTTTATTATTATAAACTAGTGGTTTGGGACCCCTAGACTTTTACCTCCTGAGTATACAAACTGTTTCAAACTTAACAAAGTAAAATTTTCCCCCTAGAAAAGTAGAGGATTAAAAAAAAAATCTGTCCAGCCAGGAAAAGTCCATTGAAGACCCTGTTCCTGCCTATACAGTGCTCTCTAGACACAGGGCAAACACTCCACCCAACCCAGACTTTCCTGCCTATGGCTTGGCCTTGCCCTTTATCAAGCTGCTCCACAATGGCCCCGTTTCCTGACCTGGCCTGCTGGAAACAATCCTGCTCTTCTTGGGCAGCCTTACCCCCTGGCTTGAATGTCCAGTTCTTTCATAGGCTTGGTTTATCAGACTGTTCAATGCTTAAACTTTATATCAATATTAAAGTTGAGCAGAGGGTGAAGACAATCAAACTGGGGCAAGGCTCATTCCATTATATATTTTTATACAATGCCAAATCTGAACTATTATTGTAGCTTAAGCACAACACCTTCCAGAGAAATCAGATGATAACACTCGTTGATACTTGCACATGCAAAAAGGTGTGTATCTCAGAATGACTTAGTATTTTCAACATTTCTTAAGTGTATGTCTATTAATTTAAAGCAATAAATAAACTATATAAATACTTCATGAAAACTATATGTGAAAACACCAAATTATAACACGGACTTAAATCCTTAAGCTATTTTTCCACATCTGAATTTAGTTAAGATATAATTAAAATAAGCAAAGCACTACCTGGCAAGTGAATCACACCCCTTACGACTATTCATTAAATAACCCATCCACATGCTTCCTTTCCTAGAAGAAATATACATTCTATACTCAATGCTTCAGGCACGAAGGAAGATTTAGATTTCCAATCTGGTGGGCATTTTTTATTCCATGTAAACGTCCTATTCTCTGTCCTCCATAAGACAAATACCACTTTCAAGGAAAAGATGGAAATGTTGAAAAGGTGGGGAAAAAATGGTCAAGGTATGTAATTAAAATTATAAACATATAGATGGTGCAATCATGTACCTATACCTCTTCAAAACATTGTGAATGAATTAGCCATTTAAAAATTTTTTAAAATCATTGCATAAAAAAACAAATTCTAATAATTTATTTTAATCAAAAGCTAATGATATGATTATAAATACTCAAATGATCTATTTTTACCTTTTTTCGTTCCTGCTCCCTCTGTTGGAGTCTATAGACTGAGTCAGTAGCTGTTTGCACTGAAATAAAAGAGAATAGGTTTTCAATTAGCAACACTTGATCAACAAAAGAATTATCTGGGGAAACAAATACTTGGATTGTTTTAGATCTAAAAAAACCCTGATATTATTTTGGTTGTGGTGGGATAGAAAAGAGAGAAAGAGAAAGAAAGAGAAAGAGAGAGAGAGAGAGAGAGAGAGAGAGAGTGAGTTAGTTCTGCCAATATATTCAGTATGTCATAATCAGAACTACCACCATTCTTGAGCTTTGAGTTGCAAGCCAAAGGCATTTAAGTACTAATTCCAATGACAAATTGTCAACAATAACCTTAGAATTCTCTAAAAAGATATAAACTTAGCATTACATTTTGACTGTGCCTTTACAGTGTCTTTCCCATCCACTAATCTCCTTTCCTTTTGTCTCATGCACGCTATTGCTCTCTTGCAGGCATTACTGGAATGCTTCAACAACTTTCTACTATTCTTCTCGCCTCTGCTCTCATCTTCAAATTCATCCTGGCTGCCACTGCTAAATTCAGATTTCTCCAGTTTATTTTCAGTGAGTTGTTTTCCTTTCTAATAGACCAAAACTGTTAGTAGTAATTACTATAATTATTTATTATTATTATGTGCCAAGTATAGTAAGTACCTTCCATGTATTACTCATTCTAATCCCGTTTTTCTATTTAGAAGAGGATCACTGTCACACTTTACAGAGTGTTGGCTTTTGTAAAAAATGAGTAAAAAGGTGAATGTCACTCAAGCAGGTAATATGACTAATAAGTACAAAAAGTAGGATTAAAATCAGATCTCTGACTCTAAAAACTTGACTCTTATCCTCAATACTCCATTCCTCTTACAATTTCATCAATGGTTTTAGTCCATGAGTTATTTAAACCTCTTCATTTACATGTACTTATGTAGATAAATGTCATCACTTCACTGTTTAGTGTGCAGGCTAAGGGTCAGACTTTGGTAAATCTGGAGCTGAGCACTTATAAGCTTTCTCAGGGATCTTGGGCATGTTTGCTTATTTATTCTTTCATTCATTTGCCAAATATTTATTGCCAGATGCTGTTATTGCTACTGTTGCTAATTTTATAGCATCTTAGTTTCCCATTTGTAAAACAAACTACTAATAAGAGGATTTCAAAACTGACATAAGAATTAAGATAATACTAATAAAAGTCACTTAGCAAAGTTCTTCACACATAGTAAGCAGAGTAATAGATCAGTACATAATAATCTATTTAAAATTACTTCTGACTGCTGTTATTTACTTCTTACCAAAGTAAATACCTTTTCATTTGTCTCTATAAAGATGTGTAGAATTAATGGCATGTGTAATACTAACAAATGTAAGCAGCCAAGATATGCTACTGTTCTATTATTAGAACTACTAGAAGCCCGGTGCACAGAATTCATGCACTGGGGGGTAGGGGGCTGGGGGGGTTGTCAGCCTAGCTTGCACCCTCTTGCAGTCCAGGACCTCTCAGGGGGTGTCTGCCTGTAGCTGACAGTTGGAAATCCCTCTCCCAGTCAGGGACCCCTCGCTCCTTACCACCCACCTGTTCACTGCTCCTTACCGCTCAGCTGCCATGTCCCCATCACATTTCCACTGTATCCCAGCCACGGCCCAGAGCTCCCTTTGGCCGGCGGCCCTGGCCAGGGCCCAGGAGTCCTTTGGTCATCCCTCACTGTCTCCCCTGCCGGCGTGGTTGCCCCACACAGCCTCCTGTTTGTTGTCTGTTCCGGTCATTTAGGACGTGACAACCCTTGGGTTTTTATATATTAGGATTATTCTGTTTCTGTACTATCCCTACTGAAAGTGCTTTCCTTATTCCTTTCCTATAATTAAAATGTTTTACTTGTTTCAAAAGCGTAGTTCAAGGTTACTGCCTTCATAAAATCACCCAGATTAATCCTTTCCCTATAAAAATTTCCCCTTATTTGTATGTAACACCCTCCCACTTTAGTTTGCATTTGCTTAAACAGAGGTTTACCTAGCTGTTTTACATTTATGCCTTCCTATATCACCTCAATCTGGCCCTGACTAGTTCACAAGTTCCACAACAGGGCAGGGACTGTGATTCTCTTTCAGAAGAATTTTAGGACCCATCCTACGAATATATGGTTAAGAGGAGGATTCTGCTTTTAAAAGTCAGGTTTTTGCCGGAACCGGTTTGGCTCAATGAATAGAGCATCGGCTTGGGGACTGAAGGGTCCCGGGTTCGATTCCGGTTAAGGGCATGTGCCTTGGTTGCGGGCATATCCCCAGTAGGGGGTGTGCAAGAGGCCGCTGATCGATGACTTTCTCTCATTGATGTTTCGAACTCTCTATCCCTCTCCCTTCCACTCTGTACAAAAATCAATAAAATATACTTAAAAAAATAAAATAAAATAAGTCAGGTTTTCATCAATAACCATTTGCTTTAGTCATGTCAAAGTTAGTATTTTAGTATTAAAAATTAGATTCCTTATCATTATTTGTTCTAACAAAGAAGATGAAAACAAACCAAAATAGGAGCTGATTAAATCTGCCTTCTTTCTGTGGTATATTAATATTACATCATCTTTCCTGAGCAGTGGTTTTTTATCATTTCCTGGTTGGTTTTCTTTTTTTGGAGGGGGGTGATGGAAGGAAGGCTATAAACACAACTTAAAAATATCCATTTTGTGGTCTTTGTTTCATTATTTTCAGGTTTTTCTTGGTTTAATCTGACAAGAGTTATAGAACATGACATTTACTTTGTCATTTGTTATACCTTTAAAATTTAATTAGAACAGCTGAAACTGGTTTGGCTCAGTGGTAGAGCATTAGTCTGCGGACTGAATGGTTCCATGTTCGATTGCAGTCAAGGGCATGTACATTGGTTGAGGGCACATCCCCGGTAGGGGGTGAGCAAGAGGCAGCTGGTCGATGTTTCTCTCTCAACGACGTTTCTAGCTCTCTATCTCTCTCCCTTCCTCTCTGTAAAAAATCAATAAAATAAAAATAATAAAATTTAATTAGAACGATCGACAAAGTCATATTTTTGTTTCTTATTAGAACTGTCTTGGTGCTTAAACAAAATATACATTTTTAGAAAATTCCTTTGAAGTAATTTAGTTTTTAATTCTTTAGCCACACAATAAAAAAGGTTTACTTTCTGAGTATAATAAAATCTGCTTTTCTAAAGTCTAGGAAAATCACCTGACTACAGCAAACATTCCCTTTCTTCACAATTAGAGACTCAAAGAGGAAAAGGTCCATTTATCCAAACCTTCCTATCACTTCCACAGGACTTACTGATCAAAAGGAAGCACTTGCCCCTGTTGTCTCAGTGTTTTAGGAGACTATACTGACTTTAAAAAGTCAAGAACTTATCAAATTATTTTCGCTCAATTGAAAGATTATTCAAGGAAATTAGTATCACAATACAATAATTGTGCTGCATATAGTAGTTAACAATGTCCCAACTGCCTTCACATAAAAGAAGCAAATTCATCCTGTCATGGTAGGTATGTGTAAACCTCAAATACATACATAAGAAAATAATTCTGATTTGGTATGAGGAGCAGATGTTGGCTGAATTCTCATGCATTCATTCATTTCAATAAACAAATAATTAGTGGCTATAATGTGCCAGCCACTGCTGTTCTAGTGATACTGCAGAAAACAGAGTCCCTGAGTTCATGAAACTCATTTTAGTTGGGGAGACAAAGCATATAAATATTTAGCACTTTAGGAAGTGATGGAGAAAAACAAAGCAAGATAGGGAGATCAGAGAATGCCAAAGTGAGGGTAGATGAATATTAGAATGGCTGAATTAGGTCTCTGTTGACATCTGAGCAGAGACAAACAGGAAATGAGAATGTACAGAAAGCTGAGAAAAGAGTATTCCAGAGGGAGTAGCAAGTGCACAGGCCCTGAGGTGGGAGTGTGCTTGGCACATAAGAGGAAGTATAAGGTAGCCAGAGTAGCAAGACAAAGCAAGCAGCTGGGGTGGGTGGGAGGGATAGGTGGGAGTGGTGGTGGTAGTAGAAAATAAAAGTCACTGAGCCAGAAGGATTTGTTAATGAAATACACATGAGAGGGAAAAGAAGGAAAGAATGAAAAAGGGAAAAAGAATAGAAGGAATGGAGATGGAGAGGAAAAGAATAGAGGGAGGAGAAAGGAGAGAAGGGGGGAAAGAGAAAGGACGAATAAAGGAGGGAAGAGGGAAGTGGAGGAGATGAAGTAGGGGAGAGAGAGCACTCCAGAGAAAGAGATGAAGAAGGGAGAGAAAGACAGGAGTACAGATTTTTTAGCCTGAGCATCTAGGGAATAGTAATGTCATTCATGAAATGGTATAAAATGAGGTAAAAGCAGAACTGAGAAAAGAATTCAAGTCTGGTTCTGGATATGTTATATTATACTATGATGCTTATTAGACATCTAAGGAGACTAAGCAGTTGGATGTAAAAAGTCTAGCAATCTAGAGTGGAACCTAGGATTAAAACATGAATGTAAAATGGATGAATGACACACAGATAATATTTAAAACTGTGATTCTACATGAGACCACCAAGCAAGGTTATATAGACAGAAAAGATATCCCAGACCCACGCCTTAGGACACTGATGTTAAAAGTGAAGAAAAGGTGTGAACTAACGAGGTAGAATGGAAGTGGCATCTGTGTTATACGAGAAATCCAAGAGAAAGTGATGTCTCAGAAGAAAAGGTGGACTTTGCCTATTACTTTCTCAAAGATGCACAGAAGCAATATTCTAAAGTTGAAAGAACTTGAGCTTTGGAGCAGAATTAGGTTTGCATGGCAATTCCTCTGATTATTATTGGAGAACCATGGATGTTAAACCACTATAAATTTCAGTTTCTATAAAGTGGGGAGGATAATAAATATTTTACAGAGTTATGATAGTTAATGAAAAAAATACAGATAAAATTCTAACTAATAAAGTGCTTTAAAAATAGTATTTTAAATCATAAGCTCTTAATGATTTCCAGGTAAAGAGGCAGAGTGTAACAAAAACAGACAAAG